CTACTGGAGGTTTTGGGTTGAATTTCACTCCTGGAATGCCTAGCAGCATCGAGAATCTCCTATGTGCTGTTAGCCAGTTGCATATGTAACTTCTTGGGGGAACTGTCTGTCCGAGGCTTTATTTTTTTTTTAAGATTTATTTATTTATTTGAAAGAGTTATACAGAGAGAGGAGAGAGAGAGAAAGAGAGAGAGGGAGGTGTTCCACCCATTGGTTCACTTCCCAATTGGCTGCAATGGCCAGAGCTGGGCCAGTCTGAAGCCAAGAGCTAGGAGCTTTTTCTGGGTCTCCCATGTGGGTGCAGGGACCCAAGGACTTGGGCCATCTTCTACTGCTCTCCCAGACCATAGCAGAGAGCTGGATTGGAACTGAAGCAGCCGGGATTCAAACTGGTGTTCATCTAGGATGCCGGCAGGTGGCGGCTTTACCCGCTACGCCACAGCACCAGCCCCTGTCCAAGTCTTCTGTCCAGAATTTAACTGGGCTGATCTATATTATTGGGAGTTACAAGAGCTTTCCGTATCCCTTGGCTGCCCGCTGCTGCTGGACTGGTGGCACCTAGCATTGGCTCCGAACGGTAGTCCACTGTGTCCCCCGGAAGCCTCAGACCGCTCTACTTGGAACTCATTTCTGGGAGCTTTAGAGCAACTCTTGGCTGGTTCCTGCCAAACTGCTCTCCTTTTGTTCCCTTTTAGGAGTGGAATCTCCGTGCCTAGCCTTGTCTGGGCACGCAACGCCGGCTGGAGACCTTGGCAGCTGGGTGTCTCCAGGAGACGTGACCTGGGCGAGTGGCACCGCCGCAGTGCAGGTGGGGGGCGGGGCTGTCTCGGACCACACAGCTCACAGGTGAACCAGGTGGAAGGACTGGGGTCTCCAAGGGACCTCGCTGAGCTCCGCTCTGGCCACTTGCCTGCTCATCTTTAGAGAGGAGTGGGGGCTGGCAGGCTCTGTGGCCTGGGGCTGACTGTGACAGCAGCTGAACACTGACTAAGACCCCATGTTGCTGTGCTGGCTTGGGGGGAGGTATTAGGCCAACCCCCTGTGTTTAAATGACAGTGGAGCCATCGGCATCTCTTGCTGCTGGGTTGGATGTACTGTAGGCTCCGGCGTCTTCCCTCCGAGGTGGTCCCTGGGCATGGTCCCTGGCCCTGGCACCCACACGGCTCCTCTGCTACGGGCTTTCTGCCCGGGAGCCAGCAGTTTCTCAGACCACCAGCAGCACATGAAGCGCACATCTGGCGCAAGTGTCCACAGCTGGACAGCGGCCACGCTCAGAAGACAGCCCACTGGGCCCCAGCCCTGCCGCCCACCCCTTCCTCTGGGGCGTTGTCTCCTGCAGCCGCCTGTCTCCCTAGCCCGGGCGCTGCTCACCCCCCCCCCCCATAGTGATGAGGCCAGGACTCGGGACCAGGGGATGCGGCTGCACTGCTGGCCCCGTGACAAGGCCTGTGCCACGCAGTGCAAATGCAAACCAAAAGAAGCCAGCGGTGTCACATGTCCCTGCTCCTACAGTCACAGGGCAAATCCCAGTCGGGTGGGACGCTGGTGTCCGTGGGGTCCCAAATGAACCCCCCACCACAAGCAGCTGTCCATTCTCCAAGGTGAACTGGGGCCTCTGTTTAAATCTTTTTTTTTTTTTTTTTTGACAGGCAGAGTGGACAGTGAGAGAGAGAGACAGAGAGAAAGGTCTTCCTTTGCCGTTGGTTCACCCTCCAATGGCCGCCGCGGCCGGCGCGCTGCGGCCGGCGCACCGCGCTGATCCGATGGCAGGAGCCAGGAGCCAGGTGCTTTTCCTGGTCTCCCATGGGGTGCAGGGCCCAAGCACCTGGGCCATCCTCCACTGCACTCCCTGGCCACAGCAGAGGGCTGGCCTGGAAGAGGGGCAACCGGGACAGAATCTGGCGCCCCGACCGGGACTAGAAGAACTGGGTCTCTGTTTAACAACAGGCAATTTGAGTTTTTGCTTTAATGGACTTACAGGTCCGACTAAGTCTGGGGCAGGATTCAAAGTCCCAAGCATGGGGGTCCCTGTGCCCTCAGCGGCCTTGATGCTGACAAGGGGGGAGGGTGCGCTAGAATTGTCAGTCCGCTGCTGCTTGTTCCCTCTTGCCACCACACGATGGCAACATTCCACTCCATCAGCTCAGAGCGGCTGGGCCTGGCTGAGCCTGGAGACCACCGAATGCGTCCCGCAGTCCGAGCTAGCTCGGGCTCCCCGGGGACACAGCTCTGACCGCGGCACCACGCCACGCCTTTTCGTCCCGCGCTCTGAGAGTGGGGCAGAATTCCTTTATACCTGCACCAGGATACTCCGAAAGGCTCACGGAAAGTGGAATTAAAGGATGAGTTTATTTTAGTGCAAAAGTTTTTGAGATTTGAAATGCAGTTTCTTTTTTCACGAGATGAATTTTTCACGAACGTTTGGAAAACACCGCGTAAGCATGGACTGCATTTTTTATTTTTTTTGCATCAAAATAAATTTATTTAATTCCATTTCCCCACGTTTTTCAAAGACCCTTGTGGTGCCACCGGAAGTTCTGGCCAGAGCAATTAGGCCAGAAAAAGAAATAAAAGGCCTTCAAAGTGGAAAGGAAGAATTAAAATTATCTCTGCTCACAGGTGACAGGTAGAAAACTCTAAATAATCCACAACAATCCTGTTGGTCCTAATCAAAAAGATCAGCCAACTTCCACGGAGAGGCTGGCGGAGGTGTGGCGCAGGTGCAAGCGGTCACGCCCCTGGCCCCGCCCCTTCCTGCCTGCGCTGCACTTCGTCCCTGGCCTCACCGCGCATGCGCGCAGCCAGGGCACTGTCACCGCTGGTCACTCGGCACTGCTATAGTTACAGGTGCCTCCTGGCTTTTTTTTGTTTGTTTTTCAAGGTAAATTTTTTTCTTTCTTAAGAAAATTAACTTACTTGAGATGCAGACAGACCACTCCCAAATGCTGGTTCACTGGGGCTGGGCGAGGCCCACGCCAGGGCTGAGCGTTAAGTCTAAGTGTCCTACATGGGAGGCAGGGACTGGGCCCATCTCCTGCTGCCTCCCAGGTCTGCACTGGGAGCTGGGCGCCGCGCTTGCACTTGACCCTGGCACTCCAGTGCAGGAGCCAGGCGCCACATGCTGTTCTGACGTCACACACTGGGACTTCTGTGTGCACCCTCCTCGGTCACTGGGTTCAGCAGAGACCTCCTAGCTCTGCCCCCACCCACTGCGGTGGTCATCGGCGTTGCTGCGAGTGTGCCAGTGACACCCGCGCCGCACCCCAGACCTCACCCATCTGAATCTCACACCCAGGCACGCAGTTGCCTAAGTGAAGGGACGTCTCAGTTTAGGTGTCTCAAGGGAGGCTCAAGGTCAACTGGACCACGCGGAAGCTGTGGTCTCCCATGGCTTGGGCCAGCCCCATCTAGCAGCAGCAGAAAAACCTAGGAATCCTCTTTGATGGCTCTTCTGCCCCCCATAGCCTCTGCCTCCATGCCAGGTTGATTTTGTCTCCTGCACGACCCTTAGATGCACCCTCGCCCTCTGTTCTCCGTCAACACCATGATCCAAGGCACCACTGGGACACCACCCCGTGCCCCAAAGACCCCTGGGAAGTTCTCGTCTTGGTTCTCTACAGCTGCTGGGCTGAAGGACTCAAATCCTTTTAGTGATGACGAAATCAAGGCCCAGAGAGCATTGTCGTTTGCCCAGAGCCACACAGCGAGCAGAGAGGAGGCCGTGTCTGCACCCAGCTCCCACCAAGAGTCTGGACCCCCTCTACTGAGCAAATGCTCAGTGTCACTTGTCCCAGTGAGAAGTCTGGGGCAGACTGAAGGCTCAGGGATCTGGGCCGCCTGCTTGAAGTTCAAGTTCCCGCGCAGCCCTGGTTAGGCCACCTGAGACATCCCCGGAGTCTCCCGGCAGCTCTGGCCTCTCCTCCAGGCCTCTGCCCGAATCTCGGCCCCGTCCCCCTCTCGGTCTGTTTCTAACAGCAGCAAGGTAGGCCAGCCCTGCTTTTCTGGGCAGTGGCACTAGGTCCTCCGCAGTCCCACGCTGGTGACACCTGCAGCGTCTCCCCCCCCCCCCCCCCCAGAGAGGGACCGTGCTGGGGCAGGAAGGGCTGCCTGGCTGCTCAGGTGGGCTCGGCGTGCGCCGCGGTTCCTGCTCCCGAGCCCCACCCAGCCTGGGCTCAGGCAGAAGCCAGGCTCTAGGGAGGCCTGTCCTGCTTCTGTACCCGGAGCCCCAGTGACCACGGGCACCACAGTGTCCATCTCGGGTGCTGCCTGCAGGGGCCCTAACCTGGCACAGTATGCTCCTTGTGTCTGCACTCACGCTCAAGGTCAAGGGCCCTGGCCCCCTCCCCGCCTGGGCCTCCTCCAGACAGGGAGTGGTCTCGACCTGTCCGTCCCGAATCCACTTCCTGCTCCAAGCCATGGGGCCTGACAGCCCAGCCGTGAGCCACCTTTGTGTGGCCCCAGCGCCGGGGGTGCTCTGAGCTTGTGATAGCCACAGCCATACTTGCCCCCCGCAGCCGCCTGTGAGGCAGTGCTAATGCTGGTCCCTTGCAGATGGGACAGAGAGGCTGAGTCACTTGCCCGAGGCCGCAGGAAGGAAGTGGCAGACCGAGCCTGGGAGGTGCCGGAGCCCAAGCCCTCACCCTGGACCACACCGTCTGTCCTGGGCCCGAGCCCCCAGCCTGGCGATTCCCGGGGCTGCGGCTGAGGCTGCGGTCAAGGCCAGCCAGCAAAGCAGCTTGTCCGCAGCCAGCGTTTCCGGCCATCTCTTCTGCTCACACAGCCTGACGCGGGCAAGACCCTGGCCATGAAATGGGTCCCTGTGCACACAGAGCTGAAACACCTGCCAGCCGGGGCCCACAGGGCCGGGAAGTGGGGCAGGGTGGGGGGCTTACAGCTGGAATCTGTGCCCCAGGGGTCCGCAGCTGCCATGCCCCCGATTGTGACCTCAGAGTCTTCTGATGTCGCAATGAGCCCGTGGGCCCTTCCTGACCTGGGGGGGGGGGGGGGGAGCTGGGGCAGCGGCTCCGTGCTGGCAGCCAGGACTATGGCCCGCGTGGGCCCGCCTGCCACCACACAGCACCCGGCACCCGCGGCTGCAGCTCTCACGCTCGGCCTGTTCTGGCTGGAGGATCCTGACAGCCCTCGGGCTCACGCCTCGCTCTCAGACTGAGGCGGCCCTGCCCAGCTTGGGGGTTGGGGGGGCAGCAGCTCTCCCAGCCCGTGCCTCCCGGGGCAGGAGCAGTTCCAGGGCTTTCGACTCCAAGCCCTCGTGGTTGCTAAGGCCAGGATTCTGGGAGAGCTGCCTGGTGAGTTCCGGCCGCCTGGGCTGGGAAGAAGCTTCCAAGTGATCAGATGGGGTAGAGATGATGGGGATGCAGGGGTCAGAGGTTAGAGGTCACAGGGTGCCCTGGGCCCTGCAGTGGCTTCGCTGCCCCTGGGGGAAGCAGACTCGGCCAAGTCCGTTTACAGAGAGGGCCGTCCCCACGCGTTGGGGGAGGGTAAGTGAGGATGGGGTGAGTGAGAGGGGTACCTCTGCCTCCTTTGGTCCCCAGGCCCCCATGTCCTTGGCCCAGGGCTGCCTGAGGCCGAGCGGCCTGACAGGAGGGGCACAGCCCGCCCACCCTGCACCCACCTCTGTCCCCCTCATCACCGGGTGCAGGCAGAGCCGCATTCAAACACTGCGTGGTGATGGCAGGTTCTGCATCAGGTGGAGAAAACGAAGCAAGCTGCTTGGCGCTGGGCAGACGCGGCCCAGGCCCCAGAGCCTACACGTGGTGACCGCCCCACTGCCCAGCCTGACCCCGGGCCCTCCCCGACTCCTCAGGGAAAAACCATTGACCGGCTGCGCGGGGTCTGATAGGAGCTGTGGCTGCGGGACTGTGGGTTCAGGCCCAGCGAAGGGACCTGGGTGTGTTCAGAACGGCCAAGGGGCTGGGGCCACAGGCTGTGTGGGCCCTCAGTAGTCTGTGCTGGACGAGAGCTGCAGCCTTGGCAGAGCTGCACATGGAGGACCAGAGCCTCAGGGCCCAGGGCGACCTCTTGGTGGTGCCAAGGGACAGGTCACGAGCAGGTTGGCGGCGCTTCTGGGGCAGCATAAGGGACTCCTGGGTGGGCCGATCTTCCAGAACTAAGATGGCGGTGGGTATGTTCCAGCCCTCAGAGCCCGTGTCCAGTGCTCCTCTATCTGGGCCCAGGGCCCGTCTATACTTGGAGCAGGCAGCGTCACAGCTGGTTCTCCCTCCTCCCGGGGGCAGGGACCCCTCTGCCAATGGTGGAGCTTCCTGCAGTCCCACGTGGGCTGTGCTGGCGGCGGCGCCATAGCTGGGGCAGTGAAGATACATTAACACAAGTCAGCAGGCGAGGGACGGGCAACGCGACGGTGAATTTGACTTGCACGTGCACACACAACACTTGCACATTGCATACTCACGCACACTCACATGTGGGCACACTTGCCCCTATGCACACTGGCACACAGGAGCAGGTCTAACTGGCTCCCTGGGCCTGCTCAGCCCACGACGCAGGGCCACCTCCTGTGTCCACCATGTGGGTGAGGACACTGTGTTCCTGGGGGAAGCCCCCGCCCTGCTCTCCTGGCCCCTCTGTCTTCCAGCCATGTCTGAGAGCTGGGCCTCAGCCTAGCCCACCCCGGGATGGACTTGAAGGCCCCCAGGAAGCCTCGTCAGCTAAACAAGTCCAGGACCAAGGCCCAGGAGAGATTTGCCAAAAACTTTCCATATAGGTACGAGGTGCCCAGACTCCTAGGCCAAGCCCTGCTTCCGCAGGATCCCTGGGAACATGTTCTGGGGGGACAGGAGTGGGGGACATCTCTGATCCACAGGGAGCCCCCCAATGCCCCCTGTTCTCTGTGCCCACCCACCACAGGCTCTCTTGGTTGTCAGAGCCCAGCTCGGAGTCGCCGAAGCCCTGGGAAGCCAAGAGCACCCCTCAGAGGGAGAAGCTGCCCCTGCAGAAGAACCTCGTGCCCACCAGGTCCATCCCGGTGCGAGGGTGAGCTCCCACCCCAGCGGGGCCCTGGCTCGCCTGCGTGCTGCCCGGGTTCCCGCCCCAGGCTTGGCAAACGAAGTCCACGCCACCCTCCCAGTGTGCTCCACTCCAGGCGCTTCCGGGCGAGGCACGCGGGGCCTGGGAGGCAGCTCTCAGTGGCGCAGGGGGCCAGAGTGGGCGAGGCGGCAGCTTGCAGGCCTCGGGACAGCCTGGTGGGTCGGGCCACTCTCAGGGCCCTGGCGCTGGTGGGAGTTTCTGCTTTGGACACCTGCAGACTCGCAGCTGCTCTCGTCGGGTGGAATCTGAGACCTGAGCCTGGGCTCAGAGATGGGGGGCAGAGGCGTAAGGATTCAACGTCCCTGCACACCAGGGCACCCTCGGGAACATCCCCCAGTGGGATGCACCTCAGACTGTGCAGGCTGCTGCTTGTGGGCACGGCACGGTGGGCCTGGCAGAAGGGACTGTGAGGTCCCGGGGACTCCCGTGGCCCCTTGGTAAAGGCCCCGCCCCCAGCCCTACTCCAGGGCCTTGGCCCCTCCCTCACGCTCTGGTTAGTGTTAAAGCTGGCAGGGCCTCAGAGCAAAGGGCAGGGTCACCAGGGTGCAGTCCACGCCCCCCTTAGAGAGGCCGTGTAAACACGCATGGACACACACACACACGCACACACACACACGGGCTTGCCCTGTTCATGTGCAGCCCTGCCCCCCCCAGGCTTCCTGCCCCTCCCTCCATGGGCTGCAGGAGCACGGGAGCCCCAGGGGGCTGAATTGCCAAGGCTGGGGTCTCGGGTTCCACCTGCGTATCGGGGAAGCGGCAGAGAGTCGGGGCGGGGGCTGGCGCAGTCCACCTGTGCCGGGACCAGGGAGGGAGGCTGAGGCTGGCTGGGAGCAGACCCCCACCCTCGGGAAGGACAGTGTGGAGCCCCACACTGGGCAGGGAGGCCTGGTAGGGTGGGGAGGGTCCTTGGGGTGCACCCAAGTGGGGGCTGGGCTAAGGAATGTGTCTAGCAGTTGTGGGCTGCAGTCAGGGGGGCTGTCGCCAGCCCTACAGGCCTGGCTGTGAGGACAGGAGCTCGGACAGGGCTGCAGCAGTGGGGTCCCTGTCAAAGAGCAGCAGAACTCCCGTGGGAGGCAGGGGAAGACCCTCCACGCCACCCTCCACCCGACCAGAGTCAGAGAACAGCGCCATCTAGAGGACATGCAGTGCTGCTTCTGGGATGGGCCACCAAGCATGCTACAAGCCCACCTGGTGAAGGGCAGGGCCTGGGGGCTAGGGAGGGGATGTTGGGATGGCTGGTGGAGCAGGTGGAGGAGGCGGCTTCCTGGGCCACCGCTGGCTCCGTGTGGGAAAGGCTGGGACGGGTCTGGCCGGGGGCCGATGGTGGCTGGAGCCCTCCCAGCTGCGGCCCCGCTCACCCCCTTTGGTCTGCAGCGGCTGCCGCCAGCAGAGCCCCTGAGAGTCAGCTGTGGCTCTGTGGTCTCCTCTAGGCTCGGTGCTCCCGATTTCACAGGCCCGCTGGGCTCCTGCCTGCCACCATCGCCGCCGCTGCAGCCCCGGCTGTGTAATCTTTGGGAACTCAAGTTACTCCAGTGTCGCTTCCCCAAACAGCTGTCCCACAAGCTGTGGCTGCTGCACGCCCGGGCCACACACTCCTGCACCAATGAGGCAGCGGGGCCATCCCGGGGCCTCGCCTAGAGCCCAGCGCCGTGTCCCTCAGGGCCACCTTCTCCTTGGCATGCCCGGGGCAGTGGGCACAGAGGCTTGAGCCCCTTGGCTGTGGCGAACCAGGAACTCCCCTTCTCCCTACAGACAATGCCATGTTAATAAACTTTGCAGGTTCAAATCCCGCTTCCACCCCGACTGTCCCTCTGCCTCTCTGAGCCGCCACTGTTTTCCAATGGTCAGCTGGGCTAATGAGCTTTGACCTGCAGGGTTGCTGGGCCACAGCAAGGCTACTCCATAGGGACCGATCTGCACGCACCTGCAAGGAGTTTTAGGAGGGTGTTCAGGAAGCAGAGTAGAGAAGTGTGTGGAGCGTGCTACCGCCTTGTCTGGTTCAAAGGGGGTGTGGAACAGGTAGACAGGCAGCCGTTGTCTCTGGGGAGCTTGGGGACGGTCAGGGAGGGAGGCCCGCCTTTTTCTGAAGTTGTCATACATGAATGTAACACTGTTAGAGTCTGACGTTGCCCCTGTAGTGCCAGTGCCTAACGGGAAGCAGTGCATGATTAAACAGGGCCACCCCTCGAGGCTGGCGTAACCCCCGTGGAGCCCACAGAGCCACTGCGCCAGCTGCTCCTCTTCCGATCCAGCTCCCCGTGCTGCACTCTGGTCTACACAGAGGGGCTGGAGTGCCCCTCCTCCCCGAGCCTGCAGGGAGCAGGGACCCGCCCCCGCCCCCACTCCCGAGTCCTGCCCTCTTGGGTTGTAGCCAGACCTATCTCCGTTTGGACCATGTTATGTCTTCCGGTCTTTGCCAATGTTTAAAGCTGGGGACTATTTGATAGAAGCAAAATCCAGTCACGCGTGTTGAGCCTATAGCATGACCATGGTGGGCACCTGACCACACCCAATACCCTCCTGAGAGCTCCTTCCCCCACCCCTGCATCTCTCCTGTGACCACACCTCTCCTCCCACTTTAAAGATAATCTCTTGCAATGGATCTTTGGCTTAGCAGTTAAGATGCTGTGTGAGACTCCCATCTCCTGTGCGTGGTGCTTACTTAGTAATCCCTCTCCCGGGAGCGTTTGATGCAGACTAGAAAGGCGGGGTGTCCGCCTGTGTGCAGCACCCTCGAAGGAGGACGCACACCCTGCAGGAAGCTGCCCGTTGCAAAATCCCATGCGGAGAAGGGGGAACCAGCGTAAACGTTTGGCAACAGAGGGGTGATTCAGCAAGCCCCTCCCTGCACAATTCCTCTGCAGACGTCAGCAGCGGTCTCGCAGCACCTAAGTGCGTTTGCGCGTCTAAGAGAGGCCGTGCAGCTCCTTGTCCTCGCCACCGCTGTTGTGCCTGTGTCACAGGTGTGCGCCTTTGTCCTAGTGCGGATGGAACAGCCAGCTCGTGTGTCCGGGGCTCTGCTGACCTCTTGGTTTGTCCCATACTTCACTGGAGCAGCTCTGGGCTTGCCCTCGCCCTGGGCCACCCGGCCAGGTGCTGAAATACACAGATGCACGCAGCTGAGACTCTAAAACTGACTAAGGCATGAGATGGTGTTGTGGACCGGAAGCAGGGATCGATGTTAGCCCAAGTCTAACCTCCCAGGAAGCTGGGGAGATGGCAAAGCCACACAGGAAAAACACAAACCCACCCCATAACTGCAAAAAAAAAAGCCAACCAAACAACAAAAAAAAACATTTATTTTGCTGCCAATGAAAGCCAGAGAAGCAGGGACCTTTGTGGCCCCGGCCACCAGAGCTGCCCCTGTGCTGGGATCCGGGTGAGCAGCCGCAGCTCTGAGACAGCGAGAAACTGGCAAGCGAAGCTTCAAGTGCAACTTCACTGCCTGCTTTGGTCCCTGTGGAATTGGAATACAGTTTGAATAGGCGATCACCTGGGTGCCCCCTTGTCCAGCTTGGCCCAACCGGGAAGGGCCCCACTTCTGGTGGTCAGCCTGTGATCCATAAAAGCCCTGACATTCTGACGCCAGCGGAGGATGAAACAGGTCAGGGGGCAGCCGGAGCAGGTAGAACCCCCTGAGGACAGCAAGGTGACAAGGAAGAAACTTCCAGAACTGCCCAAGCTCCCTGCAGCCCTCGCGGGCCTGAGCAGTGTCCTCCCCACCCCTACCCACACACAGAGGGCACAGGGCCGTGTGGTGTTGGACACAGCTACATGCGAGCCATCAGGACCCGACATGGGTGCCTGCAGTGTCAGTGTGAATGGGGGACATCGGCGGGGGGACGGTGTAGCGGCTGCCCCACCCAGTGGGGGAGTCGAGTGTGACAAGTGTCAGAATGTCCAGGCACAGAGGGGAACAGAGCGGAGTAACATCGAATTGTGATCCATCAGGGGCGAGGCGCTGGCTTCGAACCAACGTGTGTGTGATGGAAACAGGCTCGCTGCTACTGCGCTCCATGACCTCCAGCCGCCCGTCACTGCGCTAGATTTCCAAAACCTCCAGCCTTACCAAAATTCTGGCATTTTCCCATGGAAACTGACATCAGTCACTAAGTGGTCATTCAGTTCCTCCCAGGAGACTCCCAGGGCTGGCCATCTCCCCAGAGCCAGCAGGTCAGGCGGCACTCATCACCTCCTGGCCCAGCATACACACACGTGCACACACACATCCACACACGTGCACACAAGTCCTCATCCCAAGGGGGAGGCCCAGCAGGGCCCAGGCCTGGCTGAGCTGGTTTGGGCTTTAAGCCCTGGCTGGGGTCAGGTTGTCACAGTGCCCCCTCTCTGCACGTAGCCCCTCAGAGCTGTGGGAACCCAGGCTGGGATCATATCTGCTCTTCGTAATCACCTTTCTTTTTTTTTTCAAGATTTTATTTATTTATTTAAGAGGCAGAGTCACAAATGGAGGGAGGGAGAGACAGAGAGAGAGTTCTTCCATCTGCTGGTTCACTCCCCAGATGGCCACAACTGCCAGAGCTGTGCCGATCTGAAGCCAGGAGCCAGGAGCTTCTTCTGGATCTCTGACATGGATACAGAGGCCCAAGCACTTGGGCCATCTTCTACTGCTTTCCCAGGCCATTAGCAGAGAGCTGGATCGGAAGAGGAGCAGCTGGGACTCGAACCAGCGCCCATATGGGATACTGGCACTGCAGGCAGAGGCTTAGCCTACTACGCCACTGTGCTGGGGTCCCACCTGGCTTGCTTACACCATCTGGTGGTAGGGGGACGTGAGGCTCAGAGACCCAGTGAGTTGCCGGAGATCCGGCAGCCCCACGCCCCCCAAACCAAGAGAACTGCACAAGGAAGTGGAGACACACCAAAAATATCAGAAAGTAACAAACCATTTATTTCAAACACATGCCTGTCCCCATCCTATCAGACCTGCCCAGCGCAGCGGCCTGGGCTCTGCTGACACCAGGGAGGCCCAGCAGCTCGCCAGACAGCAAGCGCGAGCCACGTGGGGACAGGTGGGCCTGTCCTGTCTGGCACCGCGGAAGGAGGCTCACGCTGGCCCCTGGATGGGAAGAGGGGAGAGTCTCGCCTGCAGGACTGGCCCTGCCCTGCGTGCAGCCAAGGAGAGGCCAATCTGCTGGCTCAGGACTGTCCTGGCGGGGGCAGGGGATGGGCGGAGCACTGGGTGGGCCACAAATCTGCATTCTGTTCCCTGCACAGAAGCAGAGCTGATCCACAAAGTGGCGTTTCAGGGCCTTAAAAAAAAAAAAAAAAAAGCTCCTTACGCAAAACCTGCCCGCCCTGGAGTGCCTAGGGGAGGTGCCCGTCAGCTGGCACAGGCAGAGGCAAACGCACAGCTGTATGGCTGGCTGCCCAAAGCAGGTTGCACCCAAACCAGGCGTGACCTGTGACCAGGTGGGCTGCCAACCAGCCAAGCGTGGGTGCAGGGCTTCTGCGGGGCCGAGCAGCGGCAGCACGGGCAGCACCGGCGCCTCCTGAGTCGTGATGGGAACGCACCTCCAAGCAGCTCCCCGGGCGCAGGTGCACAGGCAGGCTGGGGAGAGGGGAGGCGGCCCTGCGCCCGCTAGTGCAACCGCAGGTAGGCGGGCACAGAATAGTTGAAGAGCAGGAAGTCCATCTTGTAAAGGTCGAAGAGGCGCCGCTGGTAGAAAGGACTAATGTCCTGGAAGAGGCGCGCCGCGTAGTCGCGCGCTGCGGCCGCCGCTCTGGGCCGTGGCGGCGCGGGGAAGTGCAGGCCCGGCGCCCCGGCCAGGCCCAGCACAAAGGCCGCGTCCTCGGCCAGCGTCTCAAACTTGCCCACCACGTCGTAGCGCAGGCGGCACGGGTGGCAGAGCGCGTGCGCGCGCTCCCAGTGCTCATTGAAGGGCTCTCCGCGGCGCGTGCGCGGGTCCAGCAGGTAGGCCAGGAACTCAGCGAAGCGAACGTCGTGGCCGCGGGCCAGCGCCTCGGGCTGGGCTCCGGGCCGCAGGCGGCGTATGATGCGCGTGCCGTAGCGGCGCTGGAAGGCCTCGCTGTAGGGCCGCGCGAACTTGTTGCGGTAGGCGGACGCCAGGCGCTCGAAGGGCTCGCGCACGAACAGGAAGGCCAGGTAGGTGCGCAGGCGCCGGTTGATCTCGGCCGGGCCGAAGTCGGCCAGCGAGGGCAGGCGGCCGGGCGCGTGCGCCTCGTGCGCAGGGATGGCGCGCGGGTCCCCGCGGGCGCGGCCGCTGAGCGCCAGCAGCACGCGCTTCCAGTTGGTGCAGGCCACCTTGGGCACGTAGCAGTAGAGCAGGCCGTGCGCGTCGTCCACCAGCACGTGGCGCAGGTCCTCCGGCCTCAGCAGGCGCTGGCGGCGCGCGTGGCGGCTGCAGGCGCGGCGCAGCAGGTCGCGCCGCTGGCGGTGCGCCTCGGCCAGGGGCGAGCGCGGGCCCTGCGGGCGACAGGGGACAAGGGACAGGGGGCGGGACCTTGAGGGCTGTGTTGGCGGCTGCGGTGCCAGCCTTCCCTGCCCCGGAAACTTGGCTTGACCAAAGAGAGGCTGAAACTGGTCTCAAGACAGCTTTGGCCGGAGAGCGGGGGCCGGCTTCGGAGGCCGGGCCGCCAGCGGGCACAGGCTCTTCTAAGTGCCAGCTGACGCCCCGCGTCCGTGGCTGATCCTGGCAGCCAGCTATGGTGAGACTAACAGGCATCTGATGGAGCACCCTCTGCTCTCTACGGGGCCCACAGCCAGCAAGGCATGGCCTCCCGGCTGGCAACTGAAGGGTGTGACCC